CATCCATCCCCTGTTGTCTAAATCTCTTCTGGACTTCCCTTATTGCCTCTCTGTGTGTCCCTGTCCTTGATTACCTCTGGGAGAATGTGCAAACTCCCTCAACATGCTCCCAAGGGACCCTTCAGAGATATTTTGAGATCATCATCCCTTCTGCCGAGAGCCCTTCCTGGCTTTCCCTTTCTCCCCTGCATTGGTTCCCTGCCGTGTTCAGTCCCCGAAGATCCCACTGTAGTCACTGCTGAGATTTTCAGTGCTCTCTGGCTTCCGACTCTTCCCAGCCCCCCTGATCTGTCAGTCGTCTGTCTCCTGGTCACTCTCGGGTACCCAGTCTGTAGGAATTACTGCGTTGGGACGGTAGGGAGAAACTGAGGAGTTCTGGTCTTGAAGTTTGCTGTTTATTTGGTAGGGCGTGCGTATATATAAGGCCCTGCTAGGAACTGCAGCCACAGCTCAGAGCAGGACGGAGAGAGAGGGATAGAGCAAGAGTTAGAGCAGAGAGCGTAAGAGAGTAAGATAGATGGCAAGAGTAAGAGCATAAGAGCGAGATTTTCCCGTTTATGATACAATAAATTTTCTTCTATGTTGAATATTCTAGTTTCCACTAACCACTCTAATAGAAGATACAAATTCTCTAACATTTGTATGCAACCTATAGGAATGACTATATTACCATGTTTTACTGCTTTTCTTATCTCTAAATTTTATCTGGGACCCTTCGTGCCATGCCTAGGAAGGATGTCTGTCTGCTTTTTGGTATTCACAGCATCTAACATGATCTAAACAAAGGGGCCTTCAGGCATTCAGTTCCTTTCAGCCACACAGTCAAAAATTGCTATCATTTCTATTTTGCTTATATTTTTCCTATTCTCAAAGTCTTTTGTTAGGCACTCCTATTTATAAGGTTTCCCTAATTCATCCTTGCCAACCCCAATCCATGCCCGGTGCTGCCGCCACCCAAGGGAGCTGATCACCCAAACTGGGTGAGGCACCTTCAGCTCCACTCACTGACCTCCACCCCGGACGGGGGAAGGAATTCCTGCCGACCCCCAAGGTGTGTGGAAAAATCCACATCACCAGAGGTTTCTGTGCTCAAAGAAGACAGAGGAGTCTTATAAAAGCAATTTCATTCATGAAACAAGGGAGAGGCCATGAGCTATTTCCCATGGCGTCTCTGCAATTGTTGGAGAGCACAGCCTCCTTTTCATCCTAATTTTTCCAGTTGCATCTCCCTCTCCCTTTCCTCATTGGATGAAGTATTTGAGAGGTACAGACTTCCCAATGCACTCACTGCTTCCTCCCCTGAATATGCACCCCACTATTGTATAGCTAACGATATTCACGGATCTGTTTAGTGTTTGTTCTTCTTCTGGGAGTTCATGAATTGATCAGGACCTTGGCTGAGCAGCAGTCTGTGTGGTCAATTAATAACATTTTCTGACCCTGATGGCTTCTGCTGTCCCTTCCTTA